CCCCCGCCTCTCGGCCAATCGCGGCCCTCCCACCCTGCGCCGCGGGTCCCGGGGGGCTGGCCAGCCCCAGGGTCGAGGTCCCCGCCTGCCTGTCGGGCCGCAGCTTGCCTCAAGGGGACCAGCCGGCCGCCTCTCTTTCCCGCGCTTCCGTCCAGGTGAGCACCGGCCCCGCGGAGCCCGAGCCCCCTCCACGACCCCCCAACTGAGGGTCCCTTCTGGGGTCCGGGACCGCTCCCGCCCCCACTCTCCTACGCCTCAGCGCGGAGTTGCGCCCCCGCCCGGGCGAGTAGGCCCCCGCCCCGCGCCCCGCGCCTCCCTCCCGCCACGCGGACCCGGCGGATCGGTCCCCGCTCTGGTGAGTCCGGCCGCCCTGAGCCTGGGGCTGAGCGTCCACGTGGCCCCGGCGCCCCCCACCCCCGCGGCTGCGGAGTGGACCCCACGGGCCGCGGACCCCGGAGTGTGGAGCGGGGACCCGGGGCGGAGATTTGCACGAGACGCGCGGTTACGGTGCAGAGCATTGATTTTTTTGCTGCGTCTGGATGGGAAACGGCTGTTTCGCAAATGGCTCTTTCCCGCAGACGGTGGTGGGGCGGGGTGAACACCGATGTAGCCGCGCGGGCGGCCCGCGGGTGGGGGCTGCGGGGTGGGGGCCCCGAGCGCCTCGCCCCCGAGCCTGGATGGGCGGGGCCCGATAACGCGAGGGAGGTGGGGGAGGGGCGGGAACGCAAACTTTCCGCTTCCCAGGGGTGTCCCGGGCAGGGGTGTGCTGGGTGTACTGGCCCCAAACCTTGTCCAAAGTGTCTTTCCGAAGACCCAGTGGCTGAGCGGTTTCCAGAGACCCTTCGTAGGGTCTTGATCGCCCACCTGAAAACTTTAGCGTCGAGTTTATTGAGTTTTATCCACACGCTCGGCCCTAACCGACTTCCCTGAGCGCTGGTGCGCCGGGCAGGGCCGCCCTTGGGGGCGTGCGGACCCCACGGAGGCCTTGTGGCTCGAGCTGCGGCGCCAGGAGAGCCCGCCGCCCCCGCGCGTGCGTCCGCCCGCCTAGCCGGCTTCCCGCCGAGCGCCCCGGGGTTCCTGGGGACAGGCCGCTTGCGTCCTGTGTTCCCAGAAGACCCTTACCTTGCCGGAGATTGCGCCACGACGAGCCGCGTCGCTAAAAGGGAGGCGTGGGGCCGCGTCTACGCGGCTCTGGCCAGCCCAGCGGTTGAGCGCGCCCACCGGGCCGAGGCACCGCCGAGCTGCAGCTTCTGAGCTGAGCGCGAGCTCGGCTGGGCCTTGTAGGACAGGGCCTTGTGCAAGGTGGGAGAATCACCCGGCCACCTGCACCCGGCGTAGGGAAGGCGCTGTTCCACTCACAGCTTTTTTAAAGGTCGGGGAAGCAGAGCTTGGGACATTCTTCGGTGGCTTCAGAAGGGACATGAACCTCTGAAAATGGGCGCACTTTTCTGGGGAAGAGAAGGTCCAAAGCCTTCTCATTCTTAGGTAAATCTGTGGTCCCTAGACCCGGAAAGCACCGCCCCCTGTGGGCATCTGCTGGAGGCCTGTCTACGTCTCGCCGCCTGTGCAGGAGAGCGGGAGAGCGGGAGGCTTCGGGCTGCTTCTGTCCTTGCTGGCTGGCCGTGGGCGGTGGGGGTGGGCTCGTGCGGGGTGAGGAGGTCCACAAGCCTCCACTAAAAGCAAGTGAGGGCAGGGCAGGGGGTTGCAGGCTGGGGTCACCTGAGCTGCACCCGTTAGGTGAGCTCCTTGAAGGGCCCTTCCAAACCCAGGCGGCTCCAGCAACTTATTTATGTATCTCTTTATTTCAGCATATCACAGGGGTACAGATGTTTAGGTCACATATATTGCTTTTGCCCCACCTGGGTCAGAGCTTCAAGCGTGTGCATCCCCTAGACCGTTCGCACCACACCCATTAGGAGTGTGTATACCCATCCCCTCCTCCTCCCTCCCACCTGCCCGACACCTGATGAATGTTATTACTATATGTGCACTTAAGTGTCGATCAGTTAATAGCAATTCGATGGTGAGTACATGCGGTGCTTGTTTTTCCATTCTTGGGATACTTCCCTTAGTCGAACAGGCTCCAGCTCTACCCAGGATAATACAGGAGGTGCTAGAGCACCGTTGTTTTTTGTGGCTGAGTAGAACTCCATGGTCTACGTATACCACATTTTATTAATCCACTCATGTATTGATGGGCACTTGGGTTGTTTCCATATCTTTGCAGTTGTGAATTGTGCTGCTATAAACATTCGAGTGCAGGTGTCTATTTTATAGAATGTCTTTTCTTTTTTTGGGTAGATGCCCGGTAGTGGGATTGCTGGATCAAATGGCAGTTCTACTTATAGCTCTTTGAGGGATCTCCATGTTACTTTCCACAGGGGTTGCACTAGTTTGCAGTCCTACTTATTTTTTAATAGACTTTTTTTTTTCAGTTTTAGATTTACAGAAAAATTGAGAAGGTAGTACAGAGGGTGCTGGTGCACGTCGCGCTGGCCCCTTGCACACACGGCTTTCCCTGTTACTGAGATCTGAAACATAATAAACTGATCACATTATCGTGTAATCATCGCTGACTTCATTGCTGCTAACTAAAGACCGTACTTTAGTCAGATTCGTGTCGTCTGCTCTCCTCCTTCTGTTCGGGGATCCCACACTGCGTTTTGTCCCCATGTCTCTTACAGAGTTTGAACTTGATGAATTATCAAAGCCATCAGTCAGGTGAGTGACGCTGTGGCACCTGGCTATGGACTTGTTGAATGTGAAAATCGAGGTCAGAGGCAGAAGAGGGGATGGGTCCCGTCCTGGCCCCTGGAGGTGACGAGGGCGCTGTCCGTTCGTTGTTCCCGGAGCAGGGAGACAGGGCTGCGGCCAGACGGGCCTCACCTTGGGGAGCCCGGTCCTCTTTTCTTATCTTTCTTTGTGTGTTCTATTTTAAAGTGCTCGTGTTTTTAAGTTGTGGGTAAAATATGTATGACATGATATTGATCATTTTAACCATGTGTAACTGTGCAATTCAGTGGCATTAATCATATTCGCAGTGTTATGCAACTACCGTCGCTGTCTATATCCAAACCATTTCATCATTCCCAGCAAAACCTCTGCACCCCTGAAACAGTAACTGTCCCCTTCCCGTCACCCAGCCCCTGGCAGCCTCCGTTCTGTCTTCTGTATCTATGAATTTGCCTGCTCTGCGGACCTCAGATTGGCCAGATGTAAGATGCTTGACTACACCAGGTGCCTCCTATCAGTGGCATCGCACAGTGCTTGTCCTTCTGTGACTGGTCTGTTTCACGTAGCACGACGCTGTCTTCAAGGTTCATCCGTGTTGTAGCATGTGTCTCAATTCCATTACTTTTTATGGTTGAATAATACTCTGTTGTATGTATAAACTACACTGGACGCTTGGGTTGCTCCCACATTTTGGCTGTTGTGAATAATGCTGCAATGAACGTGGGTGTGCAAATATCGTTCCCATTTTTTTTGGATATATGCCTAGGAGCCAAATTCCTGGGTCATATGGTAGTTCTGTGTTTAACGTTTTGAGAAACGGCCAAACTGTTGTCCGTAGCAGCCGGAGCCCGTGTGTCATGCCTGCGCCTGCCGGCTCATTTGAGTGAGCGGAGCCCAGACGGCCAGGGGAGCAGGATTCTCCGCATCGCAACAGCATCGAAGCCTGACGACGTCTCTCCCTGCCTTTGCCAGATCCCAGCATGCCTTCTGAGACACCCCAGGCAGAAGAGGGGTCTGCAGGGTGCCCCCACCTCTCAGGGGCACGCTCGGGGAAAGGGAGCCTGGAGAAGGGGCCCCCAGGGGACAAGGAAGCCAAGGAGCACCTGTGGATCCTACCCGATGCCCCAAGCAGGTGTGCCTGGCAGCTGGGCAGGCCCCATGCCGACTCGCCGCATCGCCACACCACCCCGTAAGTCCTTGTTTTTCGGTGCAAGGTGGGCGATCTGTTGCCTGGAGGGGCGGAGTTTGTTACCGGGAAGCCACATAGCCGAGAGGACTTGTAATTACTCTGGAGGACTGGTGAGCTGGGGGCGGGAGCACCTTTCCGATGAGTCAGCTGCAGCTCAGAGAAGCCAAGGCCTCTTTACGTTGTAGCCCAGCAGCTAGGCCAGTGCCCTGCAAAGAGAGTCAGTGCTCAGTAATATTTGCTGAATAAATAAATGAATGTGCCACGTCACATGCTTTGGTGACTGGTAAGGTGAGATTTCTCAGTTGAGTGTGTCTGGCCGCACACGCAGCTGTGATGGAGGTGTGGACATCTTCCCAGCGATTGGGGTCGTACCTGCTCTTTTGCACTTGACTCCAGGTCATAGACATTTCCCGTGGCTGTTACGTATTTTCCTGTAGTGGGCTCTTTTTATAGTTGAGCAGAGACTTTTGGATGAATACACCATATTTTTTTTTTTTTTTTGAGACAGGGTCTCGCTGTGTCGCCCAGGCTAGAGTGCAGTAGTGTCATCACAGCTCACTGCAGCCTCAAACTCCTGGGCTCCAGCGATCCTCCTGCCTCAGCCTCCCGAGTACCTGGCACTACAGGTGTGCGCCACCACGCCCAGCCAATTTTTTTATTTTTGTTTTTTGTAGTGATGGAGTCTTGCTTTGTTGCCCAGGCTGGTCTCTAACTCCTTGGCTCAAGGGATCCTCCCGCCTTGGCCTCCCAAAGTGCTAGGATTATAGGTGCGAGCCACTGTGCCCGGCCTAGACCATATTTTTTCAAGCACTCTATTGGTTAAATAGATGTTAGCATCATCTCATCGTAAGTAACTGCAAGAGAAAATACTACACATTCATTCACTCAACCAGTCTTTATTGATTATCTGCTATATTTCATGTTCTGTTCTGGGTGCAGAAGATATATCAGTAGAAAATAAAAATAAAAGTAAAAATCTCGGCTCATCATGAAACTTAAATTGAGCTCGCTAAGTCTTTGGGTTATGTTTGGTTATTTCCTTAGTATAATCTCCTTGAAGTAGAACAAATGAGTCAAAGAATATGCTTTTTAGATGCCTGATTCTTCCAGCTACGCTGCTGCCGACACTTACAGTTACTGATTTAAAAATCAGAGTGAGTGGTGGGCGGGGGATGAAATGAAATGAAAATTGACAAACCCAGAAGCTCTGAAGACTCATCTCAGTGCTGGGAGCTCGGGCCGCCAGAGAGGTGGGCCCTGCTGCCAAGACCACCGGAGCAGTTGGGGAGATGCCCCTTGAGGCTGGGGTGGTCTGCTGGGGGCAGGGAAGAGAGGCAGATTCCCAGGCTCCACAGGCTCCTGGCTGCGGGGCACGGGGGCGCCAGGCTGTCGGGTCGGGAAGCGGCCCCGCACCGACACCCACACTGGCCTAGTCCAGCCTCGTGAATCACCGGAAGGGGTTGGTGTCTCATCCCGAAATGCAGAGCCGAGGGCTCGTCCCAGGCCACGCGTGCGCTCAGGTTGCTGGTGACTCACCAGCTAGGAGGACGCTGGGGGGCTCTTGACCAAGGTCCCGAGGTGGGGCAGACACTGGGGACCCCTGGCAGCGAGGCCATGAGGGCAGTGAGGTGGCTGGGGTGGCCAGGGAGGGCCAGGAGCTGGCACCTGAATACCAGAAGGTGCCGGCATGTGGATGTCCGGGGAAGGGGGTTCGAGGTTCCACAGTGGGACAGGGCTGAGGGCTGCGGGGAGGCACAGGCAGGCCTATCCCTGGTGAAGACTTTGGGGTTTGTTCTTTTTGTCTTTCTTTCTTTTTGTTTTAAGGAGCACACTGTGGGGGATAGTTCCCAAAGCATTGCGTCCCTGGGGTTGGTCTAAGGTGCCGTGGGTTGTCCTCCCAGTGACCTCCCGCGGACGAAGAGAAAGTAGACAAGCTGTCTGTGGCCATCCCCGCAAATGCTGTCCTTTGTCGCGCTAGGTGACGGGCCCTTACCCTGATCACCTCTGCAGGCTTCTCAGGTGACTTTGTGGCGGCCGAGGCCTAGTGCTAGGTCAGCGCACCCAGTTCTCAGTGCCCCTGGGCGCCGAGATGCAGGGGTTCTCCCACCAGCTCGAACTGAATCAGTGAAAGAGCCCCCAGCGTGGAGGGCTTGGACACCTGCCGGGCCCCCCTCCAAGGCTGTCTCTTCCCTTTGCCAAGCCTAGTCCCACTCCACTGAGGACAGCACCCCCAGCAAAGTTTGGGGGTGCATCCTTGGGGCAGGGCTCTCTGCCTCCTGGGAAGGTGCGACTGGATTCCAGCTTCACTGCGTGGCTGCCTGTTTGGGCCTTTGGGAGGCTTCTCCCCACCGCCCTGGAGTGTGGCACTCCTGACACCTCAGGGCCCCCAGGGAGCTGGCCCTCCCTGGTCTAAGCATCACCCCCGAGGGCAGGGCCCAGGGAGCCCGCCCGTATCGCAGGTGCCCTGCTGGCTAGGGCCTGGCTCGAGGTTGGGGAGTGGCCAGTCAGAAATCTGAGGCCAGGAGGCTCTTGCGGCTCTGGAGGCCGAGAGGAGGCGTGTGTAGTCCCCAAGCAGGAGCGTGGCAGGGGCAGCACGGGGCCACTTGGGAAACCGCCTGGATCGGGGTTTGCACACACGGATGCCACAGAGCAGAGCGTCTCGGGCTTGGCTGCTGCCTGTCACCGTGTTGTCAGGTGGAAGAGCCCCTGCAGGAGTGGCTGGCCGCTAGTCCTGGCCCCAGGGACAAAATGACGAGTCTCAGCTCCGTGTTCTCTGTCTGGAATGTAGCTCTGCACACGCTGCGCATGACATTCTCTGCAATGCCAGACATCTGGGCGTGCGCTTTGCAGCCTTTGTCACTGGCTGGCGGCCGGGGATCTAAGGATTCTCTGCCTTAGGGTCAGCGCTTCACTTTTTTCATCAAAGAAAAGAAAAGGAAGTATCCCAGCAGCCAGGTGCAGAGACCCCAGGAAAGGCTTTCTAAAAAGGTGGACGTAGATCTGTTGTTTTGAAGTGAATATTTGCTTATTTTAACCTTTTTATTTGGAAAAAAATTTTTTTTTCTTTTTGAGAGACAAGAGTCTTGCCCTGTTGCCCAGGCTGGAGTGCAGTGGTATGATCATAGCTCACTGCGGCCTCGAACTCCTGGGCTCAGGTGATCCTCCTGCCTCAGCCTCCCAAGTAGCTGGGACTACAAGGCGTGGGCCGCCATGCCCAGCTCATTTTTTAATTTTCTATTTTTTGTACAGATGGAGTCTCACCGTGTTGCTCAGGCTGGTCTCAAACTCCTGGGCTCAAGCGATCCTCCTGCCTCATCCCAAAGTGCTGGGATTACAGGCATGAGCCACTATGCCTGGCCTATTTGGAATTAATTTAACGCTCACAAGAGTTGCAAAAATCATATCGAGGTGCTATGTACCCTTCACCCAGCTTCCCGCTGATAATGCCTTAGTAACTAAACTGCGGGCAATGTTTGGTTTTCATAGGTTTCTAGGTGCAAGCGTGTGTGTTTCAGGTGTGTACTTACGGGGCTGTGTGTGCAGATTTGTGTAACCACACCTTGATTCTTGATTTGTTTACAACAATGCACTTGGACTGCCAGGGCTAGTACTGTTTTTTTTTTCCTCTGAATAATTGTGGACTCTTCTGTTTTAGGACAAAATCTCCAAAAATTTTGCCAGATATTCTGAAAAAAATTGGGGACACCCCCATGGTCAGAATCAACAAGCTCGGGAAGAACTGTGGTCTGAAGTGTGAGCTCTGTGAGTACCCCGGCTCGCAGCGGGGCTTGCTCCGCCCCGCGTGGGGCTCCGCCGCGGCTGGGGCCTGGGGGCGCCCGGGGCGGACCCTTAGCCAAGGCCCAGGGGGTGGACAGTGGGGTCGGAAAACATGCTGGTTAATGAGTGGCTACAGTCACATTAGTAAAGTTCAGGAAGAAAACACGACAGGGTGATGTGTCAGAGGGTGACCGAGTGACCACAGTGAGCGATGGCAGGGAAGGGGTGGCCTTTGAGCTGAGGCCCGAATGTGAAGGAGCTTGCGGGAGGATCGGGCGAGCAAGGAGGTTGAGTGCGGAGGTTCCCTCAGGTTTTATAGGAAGGAGGGGACGTGTCATAGGATGACATGACAGTTTGTGGCAGGTCTCAGTCGGCGCAGGACAGGGCGTGTTGGTCTTTGTCTTGCTAGCTCTGTGGGGACTGGCAGTTCAGCCAATCGTTTGAGACGAGGCGCGGAACTGGGAGGCCCGTGGCTGGCTTGTCCTGAGTCAGCGCAGTTACCGGGATCTCGCTAGAGCTGCACGGGAAGGGCGGTCGCAGGAAGCTGTCTGCAGATACCGGGGTGCAGGGAATTCGTATCACTGCTCCTCCGA